AGTACAAGATGGAGCCGGTTTCAGTTTGGGCGATTGCCGATGGAGGAACATAATCGCTTGTGTTTTGGAGGCATTGATTTTGATTTTCCACGTGGTGGCATAATCAGCAAAGGCGTTAAGGCATCGTTGAAGTTTGTTCGTTATTTCGCGAGGCATCCTTCCTTTGACGGCTATTGCGGTATCATCTGCGAACAGGAAAAACACGCAACCGTCTCCAAGGGGAGGAATGTCGGAAGTGTAAATGCTGTAAAGCAAGGGGCCCAGCAGACTGCCTTGCGGGACTCCTGCTGGGATGGAAAACGTGTCGGAAAGACAACCATTCAACGATACCTTAAACGACCTTTGCTGGAGGTAGTTACGGGTGATTTTAACCAGATGTAATGGAAAGTTGAAGTTACAAAGCTTGTACACAAGTCCATCATGCCAAACATTGTCAAACGCTTTCTCAACGTCTAACAAGGCCATGGCTGTGGACTTGGATACAGCTTTGTTACTTCGGATGTTATTCAACACCCGTACTAGCTGGTGATTGGTGGAGTGCCCCTTTCTGATCCCAAACTGTTCCGGAAGGAGAATGTTATTTTCCTCGACAAACTTGAGCAAACGATTGAGAATAAGTTTCTCGAACAATTTGCTCAGCGCTGAAAGGAGGCTGATTGGTCTGTAGCTTGAAGACAATGTTGGATCCTTACCAGGTTTGCGGATTGGTATGATTTTTGCTATTTTCCAGATGCTTGGAAAGTAGTGCAGTTCCAAACATCTGTTGAAGATAGCGGTTAGAAGAGACTGCACTTTCATGCTGAGTCTCTTCAAGATCAAGTTGAATATACCGTCAAACCCGGGAGCCTTCATGTTCTTGGTGCATTTCAGCGCTGAGCAAATCTGTTGTACTGTAATCATATCCGCCGGAGGCACGACACAAGGGGAGGCATCTAGGTCTTGAACGCATTGCGCAACCTGATCTTCGAGCGGACTTTGGATATTCGAGCCAAGCAAATGCGATGAAGCGACATGCTCGCCGATCGCATTTGCTTTCTCCTGTGGGGTGATTAGAAGCCGATCGTCATCATTTTCGACTTTGAGAGGTGGAATGGGTTTGGGATGAGTTTTCAGGACCTTGGCTACCTTCCAGAATGGTCTGGAGCGGTCGTCCAGATTCTGGACAACACGCCCGAAACTTTCATTTCGGAGTGAGTCCATTCTGGAAGCAATATGTCTGTTCAGATCAGCCATTTCACGTTTTTTGCCCAGATCTCCAGTCCTCTGAAACTGGCGTCTACGAACATTTCTCAGGCGAATCAAAAGTTGGGTGTGGGAATCAATGGCAATAAACTTACCCCTCACAGGAACTCGTCGGACGCACACCTCGTCAGCCACGGTTATGGCTTGGTGGAGTCCCTCCAACGCTCGGTCGATGTCCTCCACGGTGTCAAGCGGCGGGTTGTCGATGATGTACCTGTCTACCACGCGTCCAAACTGGGCCCAGTTTACGCTATGGTAGTCCTTGCGCAGGCTTGAAGCAGGAGCCACGTTGCAGCCCAGTTCAGCCACCACCGGTTGGTGGTCGGAGCTGAGTTCGTTTAAGGCTACCGGCTTGGACAAGCCGGTATTTGAAAGAAACAGGTCTAGCGTCGATGGGTTGCCTGCCGGTGAGATGAATGTTGGCTCGTCCGAGAACCAAATGGAGTACAGCCCATGCTGTGAATGGTCGAACAGCAGACGACCGTTCTGGTTCTGCTGGTAGTTCCACCAGGCCTCATGGCGAGCATTCAGATCTCCTCCAACTACGAAGCGGGAACCGGTACGGGTGATGGTGGACAGGTCCTTCTTAAATTTAGCCGCTAGTCCACTGCTGGCGGCACACTGTCGAGGGCAGTAGACGGCGATGAACTGGACGTATCCAGTCGACGACTCCACCTCCACACCAAGAGCCTCGATGATAGAGGTGCGGATATGGGACAGAGTGTGGTATTTTATTCCTTTCTTGACGACGACCGCAACACCACCCCCCCTGGAGCTGGTGCGATCAAGCCGGATAATGTTGTGGTCAGGCAACCAGAAGCTGTCGCCGGACTTTAGATGGGTCTCGGTTAGAAGGCCCACGTCGATGCTGTGCTTGCGGAGGAAGTCGGCAAGCTCAATCTTTTTTGCTCTTACGGAGCAAGCATTCCAGGTGACGATAGTTAACGGTTTAGACGCCATACTGGATGATGAACTTACCGAGCACTTGGATCTGTTCGGGCTTATTGCGGCACTTACGAAGAGCACCGGACATGTTGACGAAAATTTCCATCAGTTCATCCGCTGAGAACAGATCGGGGTTGTTGTTTTGCGCTGTTGGTTGTCTCCAGAATCCAGGGGGGGATGGAGAGCTTTGGCCAGCAGAATCACCGGAAGTTGCTTGAGCGGGATGCACCCGCGAATTCGCTTGTCTTTGCTGAGGAGCACGAAGAGGCGGGAAATCCTCCGTCCGAAATGCCGGGACTTTGTCCTTCTTGCGTCCTGGTTGGTTGTTAGTTGCCACCTGTTTTCGGATGCGTTTGAAGTCCTCGCGTTTGGAGCACTGTCTGTCGGAACCTTGATGTGCACCACCACAGTTGGCGCACTTTAACGCCACGGCTCCATCCGCAGGGCAGTTGGAAGTGGCGTGTTCTTGCGCGCAGTTGCTGCAACGTGGCTTGATGTTGCAGTTGCGGGTACCGTGACCAAAATTGAGGCACCGCTGGCACTGCGTTACGTCACGATGGCCGCCACGGTATGGCTCCCATCGTACGATGATGGAGTAGATCGATCGGATGGCTTGCAGCGCATTGAGAGTCACCGTCCCTTTCTGGAAGTGCACCAGGAAGAGGCAATCCGGGTACGTCTTCACGTTTTCGTCTCTCCTTGTCATTCGGAATACAGCGATTGGGGCTAGCTTATACCGGTTGATTTCATCGAAATTTGGTAGACCCCTGATGACTACCTTGAAGGGCTTCTCACCGGGGATGTCGTGCGTGAAGAATTCCGCCTTGGAATCCTTCAGATATTTTACCGGCACTTCGTACTCCGCTTTTGTTCGCAGCATCACCTTGGTGCCGATCCTGCCGAGCTTAAACTCAGCGGCAACGCCCAGCGATGAGAGATCGCCAATCAGCGTGTTGAGTGGTACTTGCTTCACCACCAGTGGAGGAAGCTTGATTTTCACCGCACTCGGGCCGGCAGAATTCTCGGTTTCGACGGCGTCGCCGAAATCACCGATGTCGCTGGCGTTCGTCGCGGTAACATCGTCGCGTCCGCTCGTACCATCGGACTGTCCTTGATTCTTCTTCCTCTTTTTCGTCCGCTTCAGCGTGACTGAGTTGGTATTTCCAACATCGGTGGGCAGAGTAGCGTACCTATTTGAGGTAGGTACCGAGCTACCCTCACCACTGTTCTTCTTCTCCGCTTGGTCACGAAGTCTGCTCCGAGAGCGCTGTCTTCCCATCACGCTATGCGACCGACACTACTGACGACGCGACGTGCAGTATATCTGCGAACGTTTGTAACAAACTATAGGTTAATCGAACAACTCGACAGAGCGAGCAAAGACCGAACTGTACTGCTTGACGTTCAAGCAGCTAATGAGCTGATACCAGACAGCAGCGCTGCTTTATATCTTTTTAGGTTAAAGCAGGATGATGTGCAACCAAGTGGTATAAAAGCTACAAAGACTCCTCCCATTATGAGTAGTTTGCTATCAAGTAGCGACACTGGCTATTTTCTTTTTGCGTACACGGCGAATGAGAACGACCCAAATTTTAGTTTAGTTCACTCATAATCGCCAAAAGTGTAGGAACTCAGCGATGAGTAAATTTGTCTCATGGTTTCCTGTGGAAAACCTAAAAAATCTGCCAGAAAATGAGTAAATTGACAAAAATTTTATTCAGTCTCGGAGTAGTACCAATAGATTGAGTGAATCCAATATTTATTTTTCTCAAATTCGGGATTTTTTCCCTGGAAAATCCTGGAAAAACCTGGGAAAACATTAGGCAAATTTACTCATCGTTGAGTTCCTGCACTTTATTTCTTATTTCTGAGATAACTAAACTCAAATTTGGGTCGTTCTCATTCGCCGTGATAGATATCGGCGTCGGTGGTTAGCGTGATTACCTTTCACCCCAGCAGGCCTGGGTCCAATCTCAGTCGGCGCCACCGGCATGTTCTAAGGCAAAACATCTCTGGGAGTTGCCTCCCTGGCGTCGGTAGCATTGGAGCTCAGTATGGAAAACGAATCTCGTGTCACTTTTCAATAGGTCCTATCTACATTGATCAATTCTCTCCATCGACACCCTCTTTTGTAAATAACTCGGCTTCACAAATGTTTCCTGTCGTCTTCGTCGAATTAGATGCTAGATTGTTGCTTCTTCCATCAAAAATATCCAGCCGTGGCGATTCAAAGTTGATCAAGGTTGATCAAAATAATTTGTATCCCTGCTTCCAGTTTGATTACATGAGCATTTTGTGTACATGTAGGTTGAACGTGTATACTTTGTAGAGTATACATGCTTATCACATTTTTTTTACGTGAAATTCCCATAGTATCAACCGACATGAAAATCATGTACATTTTATCAAAATTCCATTTGACATTGATCTGCGGCACGTGAAAATAATTGAAGTGGGGTGTTTAAGGGGTTACGTGATTTTTCACGTAGCATCAACGTGAAGATTTGGCGATCTGTTGAGTACAATGTGAAAGGAAATACGCTCAACAGATGGCGGTAGTGTGTAAACATCAAAGGCTAGAGAATTGACAATGCGCGCCACAAGTGGAGGTAATACCAACTAAGAAAAAAATCAAATTGACCGCTGCTCGATGAACAATAAGCGAGTGTTATGTCTGTTTGCCTGTGCTTTACGCGTCGATTTGCTTTCAGTACGTCAGCCCAGCTTGAACGGATGTCATCTTGACCAAATCTACAGATTCAACCATTTCCACCACATTTGAGTGTTTAATCGAAACATACCACCTCCTCACTCTATTCGTCCTCCTCCTCCTCCTGTTTCTCCCGTCGCAAACTTCCAAACAGCTTCGCCGGAATGACCTGTTTCTCCACGGGCATCTTCTTGCTGACCTCGTCCTCATCTGCGCCTTCCTCACCTTCCGCTTCATCTTCCTTCTCTTCACCCTCATCGATATCGATTTCATCCGGATTGAGCACCTTATCCCCTTTCTTCGATCCACCCTGGGTCTCGCCTCGGACGAACATAATGTTTCCACCACTGGCCCTGACGGCGGCAATGGCCCTTGCACTGGTTTCCGCCGCCTTCACCTCCAGCGCTCGCATGGTATTCTTCGGCTCCGAACCGGCTCCGGTGACGGCCGAATTGATCAACGTGGCCGACATCATGTTGATCTGCGTGTTGTAGGTAGCCTGAATCGATCGCTTGATTCGTAGCATTTCCCGCATCGTGTCTTCATTTCCGTGACGAATTTCAAACTCCTTCCACGTCTGCCAAAATTCGGCGGTGATTCGCGGATCACACATCTGACTGTAGTGAGCGTAGATCGCTTGAGCTCGATCGATTTCTCCGAGTTTCGTCTCCATCTCGGCAAATAGCATACACATTTGGCGGGATTGGGCTTCCGACAGTGCTTCGATGGCTTTCTCGTAGATCGTGCGCCTCCGAGGTATTCCGTAGATTTCAGCGGCCTTCTTGATGTAGAGGTTGAACATGGCAAATGCTTCGTCCTCTTTGACGGCAGTCGTGGCCCGCTCGTACACTGCCGATGGCCGATGCTGTGCTTGTTTTTTTTTTCTGTCGGTCGCAAGTTCAAGGCTATGTTACCGGACTGCACCGACATATCAATGACCACATAAAAAAAGAGAAATTTTATACCGGCAGCAATTTTCAACTTTAATACATTGACCACAACTGGAGCCAAATATTTGTATGGATTGCAGTGACCGCCAGCGCTACGAGTAAGTTTTGGGTTTTTAGATTTACATAAAACATATCCGTAAGAATAAAATAAAATAAAGGATAAGGAAAAATGTATTTAATTTAATTGATAAAACCAAGAAAATACCTTGAAACAATACTTAAGCGACTCAACTGTAAGAGTCTGTAACCTTTTAAAAAACTACAGATCTTTCGGTAAATTTCATTTTCCATATCGACTCCAACATTACAGTTCTCCGGTAAAGTCGATTACAAATCAAGCTTATTTTTTCGGTAAACGTTACCGAAATCCATAGGTAAACATTAGAGGTAAATTTGACAGCTAATTTTGCTGATTCAGTTTACAGATTTTTCAGTAATGTTCTCGATTACCGAAATCTTTACCGACCGTCCAGCTGTTGAGAATTCGGTAAATGAATTACAGAAGTATGTATTTGTCATACTTTCTGGCGGGAAAAAGATGATGCAAAAACAAAACATACACGATAAGAAAAAAGTATCTAGCGGCCAGTTCACATTCACCTACTTTTGACTTTGAGTATAATCACGATGAGTGTAATCATATTCACCTAGTCTTGGGTAAAACTGACTTACTTTTGGGTAGAAAGCGAATTTTCAATTCCATACGATTTGAACACAAGTAAATGAAAACTACTTGGACTCACTTTTACCTACTTTCGGCTTTCTGCAATAAAGTGCAATAATTTACTTTTGGGCACTTTTTTCTTGCCATGTACCTGAAGGTATAAGTGCTGGAATCATTTTTGGACCGGTCGTGTGTAATCAAAGTGTACAAAGTGTGGCCTTGAATTAATCAACTATTATGATTACTTGACTTGGTTGGACTGGCGTATAATTTTTTTTTCTGTATAGAAAGTGATGTCCGTTAATATTGGTAAATTTAATAGAAATGTAGTAATGGTTTCATTATTGGATGACAAATAGATAATCTTTAAAAATGGCGTACGTTGAAATTTACAGTAAAATATATATTAGTTTTTCTTTAACTTTCTATTTGTTGTATTAACTGTTACACATTCGACATATTAATAACTAACTCTAGCAGCTATGTTTATGGTAGTTGCGACAGTGCATGATGTACGCTCACACCCCTACAGCATCAATGATAATCATTTCACTGACACATAGAAATGATAGAAAAAAAATCGTGACGGATTGTATCATCCTTGGGGGACCTGGATTTTGATTAGTTCTTTAGTGGGAATGTCACTGATGAAGACTGCACATTGTAGTCTAAATACGTAGGGGAAATGGCTCTAATGTTTTCCTATGGATTGGGCCCATCGCTAAAAATCTGCTATTTATCAATTTTAACTAGATGAACGCGTCATTGGGACGGTACTAATGGATATTTTCGGTCACTATTGACAGTTTTTTCGATTGCTGAATTTATGCATGGGCTCAAACTCGGGGCATTTAGGCCGACATAACATCCATTTCCCCAATCTGTCATAGATTCATTCCTTTATTAAACGTCGGTCTCTGTTCCGCAATCTAGTGCCAATCACCGACGGACATCGATTGCCATCCATTGACGGACAATCGAATGTGCAGGAAGGCAGCTTCCACACCTGCGTAGGATATCGCACCCATTCAACACACATGGGCCGGGACCAACGGCATGTCATATACAGGGTGTTTGGTTCCGGGTTTTACATATTTTCAGGGTAGATAGGGCTCCTAAAGTTATGGAAAAATCCCCATGAAACATAGGGTCGGAAATGACTGCTAAGTGAGTTATTCAACATTTTATGTTTTTTGTATTGCCAACTTTGGTTGGCTATATTTTTTTAATCTTAATGTGGTTTTCTGATTTCAACATACTAAATAAAAGATTAAAGTCTTAGCTATCAATGCTCTTTGAAAAAGAACTCGATTAAAGTTAATTATCATACATTAAAATTGAAAAGTATGTTGAAAGTACCAAAAAAATTGGTGAAATTTCATACATTTTAGTGTTTTTAAGTTGAAAATTTTCATTTCTGTTTATTTAGTTCTTCTACAAAACATTTTCCATGCCGTTCCCTAGATTTGTGCCTTTGGTAGTAACCTTGTAGGCTTTATGGTTTCTTCGTAATTATTGCTTTAAAACAGCCATAAAAACTTGTGACGTTTTCATAAAATGCGCTATAGTCACCCTATTCGTTCGTACGTTCGGCTGTTGCAGTGGACAACGCACATGAAAATTTGGTAGAATGTTATTGTAAATGTTTAGCTACATTCTTAACTTTTGATTACCGCACATCTTCTGCGCCGAAAGAAAACATAACTGCGGAGATGTTTCGCGGTATCGAATATTGCTCAGTCTCAGCAGAAAACACAACGAGAGACACCGAATCGGCGAATTCTGAGAGCGGAAGGGAGAGAAGTAGGTAGCGGTAATAAGTCGATGTCCCTTTTATTTCATAGCACTCGCAGCTCAGCTGCGGTGCTGTTTCGATGGAGGAGTGTGAAGTTCCGCTGCTTCTGTATACACACTTAATTTTTTTTTGCAGGAGTCAGTATTTTTTACTGGATTTTTGGATTACTGAAAAACTCGGTTAAAATTCAAATGACTGTTATTCGTAAAGATTGGATAAAATCGATTTTTTTTTTATTTTTCATCATTACACGGGGTTAACAATAGTTAGTCTGTAAATGTTCGTAACACATTTACTCAACTTTGAATTTTTCACAGATTTTTTTAAATTTTACCGAAGAGTTCCGCAATTCAAAAACTCGGTAAAAATTACTTACTCGATAAGTGTGTACTGATGTATGGTTGGTGAAGAGGCTAGCATGTGGAGGGTATTCTCGGGCTAGTGAATACCAAGCATGGGAAAAATCGATTCATTTTGCATTTACTATTCACTTACACGCATACAACATCAGAAACGAACAGCAGCTTGTGCGAGTCGCACTGATTTCGTTCGTATTTATTCGCATTGCTTCTATTTTCTTCGATGAACGCGGAATTGAGCAAAGCAGACAGCTGAGCGTAACATGAATGATTCTAAGTGTAGTAGTGTGGATGATTCTTCTCTTATTATTTTTTCCCTGCTGAGCCTTTTACGATTGCATTCTGCTGAGTGAGCTGAATGAGAATTTAGCAGAAAGAATCACTTTTTATTTTCTAGCTTAAAACATACATTGACACATTTAAATTGCTGTTAATATGGAGAAAATGGTTATACTGTGACACATAAACATAAGCGTCAAGCAAATACCGTAAAACTGCTGTGGCCAATTCAACTGATTTAAATCAATGAGCCAAAAACTATCTGACTCGGCTATTAAATGATGATGAAAAATAAAAAAAAATTCGATTTTATCCAATCTTTACGAATAACAGTCATTTGAATTTTAACCGAGTTTTTCAGTAATCCAAAAATCCAGTAAAAAATATTGACTCCTGCAAAAAACTAAGTGTGTATACAGAAGCAGCGGAACTCCACACTCCTCCATCGAAACAGCACCGCAGCTGAGCTGCGAGTGCTATGAAATAAAAGGGACATCGACTCAGTGATGCCACATTTTTTCGATTTTCAATCTGTATTTTCATCGCAAATAATCTTTTTAATCTGTATCTGACTGACAAAAATCTGTAAACAAATCTGTAAAATTTCTTTGTTATGGTCTTAGTGGAGCTTTACGTAAATCTCCATTGAGTTAATTCATAGTTCAGTAGGACTGTGTTCAAAGTTTAGAATCTTGAAAAATTGCTAATGTTTGCTTTCTAAAGAATTTGACTATATGAAAAATGCCGAAATCCTACAATATTTTTTTAAAGTGATGTGTATCTTGTCTTCAGATTGAAAATACAAAAGATTAAGTTCCAGTTGTGAGAGGCGAATCTGTTTCCGGCTGAAGATTTTCTTAATGAAGTAACTATCACAATTTTCTAGAATTTTATTTTTTGTATGTCTGTAATTACGAAAACCTTTATCTGGACATTTATTTTTATTTAAACTCCGTAATTTTTCAATAAGTATTAACACAAAACTTTTACTGAAAGTTCAGCCGAATTGTATGCAATATTCCAAGGGGTGTTCAACTCGGCACACCTTAATTCGTGCCGAGCTACTATTTTGTGTAAAAAGATGTGCCAAGCGCTCTGCCGAACGTACCTGTCAAGGACAATAAAGTATGCTTATCAAGCTGTTTGGAAACCCTGAAAGTTATGACTTTTGTAATTTTGTTTAAATTCTCAATTTCTCTGATGGATCATGCTAGACATTCACCTCCATTCTCATTAGAGCGTTAGCGGGTCGGGATGCGGAAGAGGAACTGCAAATCATCAAACCAATCAAGCATAGTTCAATCCCACGCTTGGAGCTACAGCGTCGAACCAGTTTTAAATCATCTGATCGACTCAGAAGTGCGTGTCCTCAAAGACATAACTCAAGTCTATCGTATCGCTGATTATGATGCATTCCCCTGAAGAACTGTCATACTTTGAAAATAGGATTCTCAGCCACCGCAGACTTCAGCGTAAGCGCTTTATCAGGTGCTTTAGATCTGTATAGAACTCGAGAAGATTTCCCAAAGTCCACCCAATTAAGACTAATGACTGACAAGAATACCCGAGGAAAAACGCAGGAGAAAATGTGAAAATTTCCGTTTTGAAGGTACTCGGCAAAAGGGAGCCAAATCTAGCCGCCCCCTATAATAAGCTTGTTTTCTTCTCTATTGTTCATAACAAAATTGATTGTGTACCTCAACTCTCGCAGAAGATCCTGCTCTGATCCTTCGTTGTACGCTTCGAAATTGGATACACACGACAGTATCAAATGTTATGTTCAAAAATAAGAAGTGTGTTCTGGAAAAAAGCCTCCAGTGGAGGACAGCATGTGGGCTAGAATGTGAGCAGCGTTGGAAAAATTTCACGATATTTCACGAAGT